TAGAAAACACAAAGTGCGAAGAAAAAAAGTAGAATAAGATAAATGAACGCCCTTGTCAGAAATAGCGAGAGCGCGAACCAGATGAAATATGCCAAAAGTTATCAATCTGAAGCAAAACCAAGTTCACTTTCTACGCATAACAACTAATAATAGTCGAGGGCATGAAGACGAAGATGGTGTGGTCTTTGGTACGGTCGCGGTCTCCTCTCGTTGTATACAATTTGTTTGACCTTGCTTTCGCAACTTGGTCATATTGGGAGAGATACCGAGAGGAAGGCACCTTGTCCGGAGTCCATAGTATTCATGAGAATTGCCAGATTTGTACCGTGAACTTGGTACATTCCCAGACGTTTCGCCGGCATTATCAGTGACTATTGCCATTCTCATCACAAAAACTACAACTCGCCAAAGAGACAAATGAAGTCAACACCTTGACCAACCTTCTGTCCTCGTTTTCTACTGCTCCCTCAATCCATTTCATACCCTCTAATCTCGCCCTCGTCCGGTCACAACTTCTGACATGGCGGCATCACACTTGCTGGTTGCCTTGTCCCATTCGCTTTCGAGTGGCTGACCCTGCTCTACTCTCCTGTCCGGATCTACTTCAGGGGCCCATTGCTTCTCTTTCTGGCCGACCGATTTCACTCGGTTCCAAGCCCAGCGCACTCGTGCTCCAAGTGCTACTCTCAAGCCTTCAGTAGTACGTACACAGCCGCGTATCTTCAGAGGGCACAGAACTGTGATTCCCATGCCTGAGAAAACTATGGACATCCATCTCTTTTAGCCTGCAGCATTTCCAGTGGATTATTAGAACATTTGGTCACAATGCCCGATTTCTGTGAGCCAATCCCCCAAGTTGTAGTTGTCTATTCGAGCTGACTACACCCACTGAAACCATCTTCGCTTCACTTCCGAAACTTACCCACTCTCTTTTTTCTTGTAATACCTTTTCTTCTGGTTTACAATAGATCACTGACCCAAACGTCTCCTTTTAGCTTGTCCTGCTGCATCCCTGTTTACTCCGAGCTTGATTAGGCAATGGGAAAAGTTATCACTGACTCCTGTTCATTACATTTTTACAGCAAAGATGTGAATGGCCTACCTAATCTTCCGTTTCTTTATGCTTTCACCGCATGAGGCCCTTCTTTCTGTTACCTTCCAATTGAGCTCGTGTCCAGTCTCTGCGATCTGTTCCGCTATTTCGTATCTTTCAGCCTCCATTTGCCTGCATAACCTTTGATGTTCCTTGATTCGTATGCTGATTTTCCTCCCAGTTTCGCCAATATATTTCTGTTTGTTCCAGCCTGAACAAGCCAATTTGTCTGCTCTCTCATACTGCCTGGGTGGACTTGTGAAGTGTGGCTTTTTCATTCGTGCTCACCTGAAGATTCCATTTTCTTAATATTGGCCCTAGTTTTAATGCTAGTTTACAGAAAGGGAGACATCCACTTTTGTGGGTCATTCTAAATCTTTATCTTTCTTTCATAATCTCCGACCTGCCATCGGATCTTCACGGCCAGGATGCTTCTTTGCACTACTTCTCTCGGATATCCATTACCGAGCAATATCCGAGTTCATTTTTCCCATTATTTATCCCAGAATTCCGCATACGTTAATCGTAGGCTTCTGTTGATCATGCTCCTTAGCAGTATGCCCATCTTCATTGCGTAGTTGTGATGAGATTCACATTTGAGTATTACAGCAAATGACTTCTTTCGGAACAATTTCCTCTTCAGTGTCCCAGTAGAGCGAATAACTCCCACATCTGGTAAGGCCAAATGCCCCTCTTCCTCAACATCCATTGTGAATTTGATTTGTTCATTAACTCCGTTCAGAAAATGCACGAAATTCTCCAACTTTTCTCTTCCATGCAACCATATTGCAACGTGGTCATCCAAGTACCGCACAAGAACTCTTGGTTGCAGCGGTGAGACCTCGAAATTCTCTTCTAATTTGTCAATACATACATTTGCGAAAAGAGGTGAGAGAGGTAATCCCATACGAGATCATAGATGTTGCCATTGAATGTGAATTAGATTGTATTTATTGTCAATTTGATTAATCGTGTTAACGCTTTCCTTCTGATACTCTTTGCTTCTAGGATATCATATTCTCGATCCAAAATTTCTACCAGGACCGTCAGAGCCTTTTAACAGAAACCTTTGCGTACATAAATTGTACATCGAAACTCACCAATAATTCCGTTTCTTCCAGTGTCTTATTTTTGAGCTTCTGAAAGAATTCATATGAGTGCTTCATTGTTTTTGCAAATCTTTCATTTACCTTATTGAGTTTCAGACATATAAACTTGGCTGATTTGTGTTTTGCTTCAAAGAATCTTAAACAAAGTACTAAACTTTTAGATGAAATTCTATTGGAGGTCATAAATATCTCCTACAAGTTCGCTCAGTAGGCAGAACGGGAAATGGAGATGGAAATAATCCATAGAATCTTGACATATTATGAACCAACGCACGTGAAGAGATTTGCGAGGTTACGAAGAATGCCAGAAAGGAATGAACAGTTTGTCCTTCAGGCGGACAAGGGAGA